ATGATTTTTATTCTCTTCCTTTTGGTAGCTTGCATTTTTCAAGAAAATATTTTTGTCTAAATGTTCTTTTTTTTCATAATGGGAAAGTGAATTTTCTTTTTAATAAAGTAAATAGTATTATCAAGATATCCTGGGAATGAAACTTTATTCACTGATGTTTCCCAAAATGTAGAGTCCTCCCTTAACCTAAATATTCAGATTTTTTCCCATCTTGGAACAGTTTCCCTCAATTATGACTCTGATCCTGGGTTCTAGCCTAATTGTTTTTGCTTCTTCCTTGGAAACACACTCTGCTCTTGGGCTTTGTTATTCAGACTTTGTACTTCTGTATCACGCATCTCCTCTCTCACCTTTTTCATCTCTTTGTTGTTTTGCTTTTTATTCTGAGAAGGCTTTGCCACTCCATATTGGTGTCCAAAGGAGAGCTGCTCTCCTCCTGGAAATGGGATTATAAGAAACACCCATTTAGAGGAGGAATTGAGAAAAAGAATGCCACCCAATAGTAGGATGGGAAGTAGGGGGGATTTCATGACATTCAAGATCCTAGCAGCATGCTATGTGCAGGTTTCTGGGACCACTGCCTGAGCTTGAACCATGAGTCTGACCCAACAGGGTGACATGCAGGACAGGTGGACACAAGTGTCTTTAGGTGAGAGCCCACCTGCCTCCTTGGGAAGTAGGCCACAGAGGGAAGAGCGACTTCCGGGACAAGTCTGGCGGACACACAGCTGATACAGAGAGACAGAGTTGTTTCCCAGAGCTGTAGTACCTCTGCTGCTCCCTCCGTGGTCCTTTCTGCTTTCTCTATGTTCACCAATCACCCACTTCAAAGTTCCTAGCAACACTTTCTCCAGCTGTTGGAAATTCTTTTTGTCACCAGCTCTTGCGCAGTGGGCTTTCATCACAGCCAAGATTCTGTTCTTTTGGGTTTCCCAGCCAGATTTCCTGGAGCCTCTGGGAGCTCGGGCCTTTGAGATGCATCTCTTTGGCTGTATGTGGTGGTGCTCCGTGGGGCCCTTTCCCAATACAGCTCCCACTGACAAGCACCACAGATGTTCAGACCTTTCTGCTGGGTCTACTCCTGTCTTGCCTGCATCCCTGGTGAGCCACTTCCAGGGCCCTGGGGCTCCTTCCTGTCTCCTAGCTTCTGTCCCCTCTAACGGTGGTTGAACTCCAAGTTCAGGCCATTACCAGAGACTCCTGGATTCCATGCAAGTCAAGGGGTGTCCACAGTCTTACCACAGTTGTTTTCTATAGACCAGGTCATGCAAACTTCGAACTGCTTTGCTCACTGTGGGTATTTCTTAGGGATATCTCTTTAAAGATGGGGTTGTTTGATTAAAGCATACTGTATATTATAAAATTTGATAAATATTGCCTTCTTGCCTCCACCAAACACCTCTATCATTTTGTATACCTACCAAGGGTTTATGGGTTATACCCAAAGACTCACATCAAAGTTACATAGATTTTCTCCTGTTTTCTTCCAGAAGTTTAACATTTTAATTTTATATTTAAGTCTACTATGTGCTTTGAGTTAACATTTGTGTACAGTGCAACATCTGTGCCTAGGTTCTTTTCTCTGTTTTTCATGAGGGAAAGGTTATCCTTTCTCCTTGAATCACCTACCCACCTTTATCAAAAATCAGTTAACTGTACTATGAGAGGCTGTGCTTTCTGTTCTGTTCTGTTGATGAAAGTATCTGTTTTCTCCAAAACCACACTGTCTTGACTACAGTAGCACTAAGGTAAGTCTGAAATCAGTATTATGAGTCCTCCAAATCTGTTCCTTTTCAGTATTCTATTCTAAGTCCCTTGTTTTCCTTATACATTTTAGAACCAATTTATTTACAAAAAGTGCATGGGAATTTTGAATGAGATTTTGTTAACTCTATAGATCACATTGGGAAGAACTGATATGGTGACAACATTAAATATTTTAATCTATGAATACAGAATACCTCTCCCTTTGTGTAGATCTTCTTTGTTTTCTTTCATTTCATTGTTTTATAATTTTCCAAACACTAATTTAGTACATATTTTGTTAGATTTATACTTAGGTCTTTCCTCTTTTTTTAGTGCTCTTGTTAAGTGGTATTTTAAAAATTTCATATTTCAGTTTTTCATGGCTGGCATGTAAGAAAGCAACTGACTATTGTACTTGGCATCTACAACCTTGCTATACTCACTTGCTGGTTCTAGGAAATTTTGGTGGATTCTTTGGAGTCAAGTGATCTTCTTGTCCCAGCCTCCTGAACACTGTGATCACAGGCAGGCAGCACTGTGCCCAGCCTCTGGCTCAGTTTGGAATTAGGTTATTTATCTTTTTACTGTGTTGTAAGGTTCCTTTATGTATTCTAGATCAGTGATGATGAACCTTTTAGAGCTTTCAATGATACAAACAGCCCGCTATGGTGTGAGTGCCATAGGTTCACCACCACTGTTCTAGATACTACACCCTTATCAGGTATATAATTTTGAAATATTTTCTTACATTCTGTAAATTATCTTTTCATTTCTTGATGACAACTTTGGAAGCATAAAATTTTAAAATTTTGATTAAGTCTTATTTTTCTGTTTTTCATTATTATGCAGTGTTCCAATATCTCAAATATTTCTCCTTTGTGTTTTTCCAGGAGTTTTACATATTTAGCTCTTGAATTTAGGTCTATGCTCCATTTTTCAATTAGTTTTTGTGTAGGATGTGAGGTTGAGGTCTAGTGTTGTCTTAGGGTTTATAATATAGTATCCATTAAAACCCATCTGCCTCCACCTTTCAACATTACACTTCTTCACGTGTAGTACCAGTGCCAATTCTCTCCTACTTCTTGTGACATTGCTGCCATTAATTCCACTTATCCGTAGGTTATGAGTACACAATACCTTGTTACTCTTCTCTTTTTAAACAGTTTTAGAGCAGACAAGAATAAAAAAAATGATCCTACTTTTATTATTTCCTTCTCCAATTATCTTTCTTTCTTGAATAGATCCAGGTTTCCAGCATAAGTTCTTGCTGCTCAAGAACTTCTTTAGTGTTTCTTTTCACCTGGAGAAGTGTTTACTTCTTTACTTTTGAGGGCTGATTTCTCTGGATATGAAATTCTAGATTTCCTTCTTTCAGCCTTTTAACAGTTTCACCCATTTTCCTGTCTTCTTGTATGCATGGCTTCTGGTGAGAAGCTTGTTGTAATCCTTGTTCCTTCCTTGGTCAGGTGTTCCTTACCCCTGGAGACTAATGGGTCTATTTTTTGTTTTTTTTTGTTTTTGGTACCGGGGATTGAACTTGGGACCTTGCGCTTGTGAGGCAGGCGGTGGAATCACTGAGCTAAATCCTCGGCCCAAGTGGGTTTTTTTTAAGATGCTACTTCTCTCCTTTCCCATCCAGACTAGGAGGCGATCCTTCTTAGATTATCTCCACGGGAAGCTGATGGGGTTCCTGGAGGGAAGCCATGTAAGCATGACCCCCCTTCCTCCATTGCTGCGGGCTCCCCCAGAGAGTCTCATTTTTGCCCAAGTCTGCACTCAGCTTCCTGCAACTCCACAAAACAAAGTAAGTGCTCCTGCCAGCTGATTGATTCTAATGGCTTCTGCTCCAGGTAAGTAAATTCGGAAGGCTGCATGTCTAAGGATGTATATTGGCCAGAGCTCAGGTTAGTGGTTCATCCTATGAGCTCAGTTTCTCTGATGGTTCCAAGAAGAGTCATTATCTTCAATGTGTTCAGATTTTTCTCATACCTATGGATAGCATGACTTCTAAAGTCTTTACATGTCGGAGCCTGGTGTTTGATGTTTTCTTGTTTACCATGAAGCTAGAGTTCATTCTGTATGTGCTCCTCAGGTTGAATCCCAGTGGTGGGGACTTAGCACCCAAGCCCTAACTTGTTTGTCTAGCCTCCAAATCTGCCTTCTGCCTCCTCTAGAGTGAGCACTGAATGGTAATCAGCAGGTGAGAGTTGGACTAGCCCAGGTTTGGTATTTTGCCAGGTAAGTGAGAGGCAGAGAGTTGATGGTGTATGCAAGGCACTGATTATAAAGGCAAATCACAAAATCTAAGCTTGGAAAGCAGGGGGTGAGGGATGGTGAAAAGGCAATAAGAACTGTTGTAGGTCCTGGCATCTCTTACATAGTTATTTCTCTGTCCAGAATCCAGTAATCACCTCTCATTACTATTTAACAGTTTCAATAAAATCATCATCTATTGGGACCATCACTAGGCAAGCCATTGTATTAGATGCTGTGACACAATGATCATGTGTGTCTTCCAGGTGAGGTAGGCAAGTGACTCGAGGAGACAAAGTATCCCAATATGTTTGACACTCCATATGTACAGGTTCCACAGTCATGGATTCAACCAACCAGATTTAAAATATATTTTTTAAAAAGTTGTGTTTGGGCCGGGGATTTAGCTCAGTGGTTCTGCTACCTGCCTTGCAAGCGCAAGGACCCGAGTTCGATCCCTGGTACCAAAAAAAAAAAAAAAAAAAGAGAAAAGTTGTGTTTGTATTGAACATGAACAGACTTTTTTCTTGTCATTATTTCCAAAAATTACAGTCTAGCAACTATTTAAATAGGACTTATATTGTATTAGGTTACTGTAAATAATCTAGAGATAGTTAAACTATAGTAGGTAGAGGAGGTTGTTCATTGATTATATACAAATACCACATTATTTTATACAGAGAATTGTAACATCTATGGATTTTGAAAATCCAGAGTGGAGAGAGGATTCTGGGATACCAAGAGATAAACAACTGTATTTTAAAAGTTGATTCTGTAATAAATCTAGACTCTTCAGTCAGTCATTCAAAATTATCTAGAATAAGAAGTCACTTTTTGTTCTTACCCCCCGACCCTGCACTGTCCCCAAACAAATCCAGCTTGAGCCTGTCATCATCCTGCAGCCATACTTTCCCTTTTTCCCTGTTCTGCACCTTTGGCATGCTGGTGATATTCTCCCTGGAATGCCCACTTCTGAGGACTCCCCAGAAAAACTTACTCACCATCCTGAAGGTCGAGTGCAAATGAAGAATCCAGGAAGCTTTTCTGATATCTTTAGTGGGAAATTGTCACCTCTGCTCTCAACTGTGCATATCACATCTGCTGCTATATACAGATACTTATGCCACCTCTCCCTACAGACAGCATGGACACTTTCTTGTCTGCCTCTCTGTGTAGCAGTGTGACAGCACTTTAATGAAGCAGTAAGCAAAACCCATGAGGAAAAGAGAAATATACAGAACAAGATTAGAACCAGATGGTTAAAATCAGCCACTGCTTTGAGTTTTTCTGGTTGTCATGGACACGATCCTTTCTATTGTTGGTAACTCCAGTCTCTATGGTGAGCTCATACGTAGAACCAGAACCTTAGAAAGGCAAGAAAGAGGATTGGCTATGGATGACTATTTAAATGAAGGGAGAAGCAGGTACAGAGAGAATCAATAGATGGGGAAAAGACTAAAATATCTGGCTTACAGTGGCTCCCCTCCCCCAATGAATATTACTTTTCAAGTTAGGTAAATCTTGTTTTAGATCTATTCCACCTATTCTTGTTGAAGCTTCAATATAATTTCCTCCACCATCTGACTCCTTCATCACTATCCTACAACCCATGATATCCTCTGAAATGTCCAACTGAGTATGAAAAGCATGGAAAAATAATTTCAGGAAGAAGTAGATTGAATCCCAGACCAGAGATTTCAAGAAGTATGTGCTAGATATGGGGCATATCCTACAAGAGTAAAGAGGGGGTTGAGGGCAAGCTGTCTGGCCTCTTTCTTGGCAAGTGGATGAGGCTCAGATGAGACTTTCTAACTCAAATGATAAGGAATGAGACAAAGATTCTAGGAGGACATGGGAGACCTCTTTTTTCCTAGCATTTTACAGGATTGGCTTAAGGCAACATAAAGCAAACGTCTTAGGAAAGACAGATTATGTGGCTCAGGCTGGAAGCCAGCAGAGTTCACTATTTAGATTTAGCCAATCTACAAAGTTTGAGGTCACAATTCCCATGCAAGACCATTTCTGATGCCAATTATAAGTTTAAGGTTCCCTTACACCACCTTCAGTATTGATAAGTCACTAGAAAGCCTCAGGATTCACCGAAAGCTATTTAGATTCAGTTGAAGGACTTATCTTATCCTCTGCAGGGCGTATATGCAGGGCAGAATCTAGGAAGGTTCCAGACATGAACCTTCTGTGTCTTCTCCTCATAGAGTCAGGACATGTTACTTTTCTTGCATTAATATGTGACAATGAAGTATTAACTACAGAAGCTCACCAGAGTTTCAGTGTCTAGAGTTTTTATCAGGACTTTATTGATTTATTATTTGTCATACCAAGGATGGAACTGTCCTTTCTCACTGAGCTACATTTTTAACCCTTTTTATTTTTTATTTTGAGAAAGAGTCTCACTAAACTGCTAAATTGCCCAGAATGTGATCAAACTTGTGATCCTCCTGCTGTAGACTCCCAGAGTGCTGGAATTACACCGAGCCTGGCTCTTGGGACTTTATAATGGAGGCATGATCAACTAATTGCTTGTGTGGTTGAACTCAGTCTCAAGGTCAACTGATAATACATGCTTGAAAGTTGTCTTTTTCAATCTCATAGTTGGTCTTTCTGGTATGTTGACACCCTCTGTCCAAGGATTTAACCCAGGGTGATCAGTTCCAGCTGTAAACAAAGACTCCCAGAAGCTGAGACAAAAGCCACACCTCATTTTGTACAAGGCTAAATTCTTTACTACATAGCCACACCACAAGTTAGAAACGGAGATTTAATTCATGGGGTGGTAGTTTTGCTTAACAGAGAAGAGCAGAAGTAAGGTTTCCTTGTTGGGTGAGTACATGGATCTGCTTTCCTCCTCTCCCTTGCCTGGTTGCTGGATTGTGCAACTAGAAATGCAAGTTTATATCAACTAGCCCTCTAGCCTAAGAAAGAGAGAAAGATACTAATAACAGAGAGGCTCAGAGTGAGGAAAAACATTTTCCTCATTCACAATCCAAACAGCAGGATTGGATTGACTTTTCTTTGTGCAAATAAACTAATATGGCAGCTAAGAAAATATTTTATTGCAAAGAGATTGAGAATGGAGATACAGAGTGGGAGAGGATTTGCGGGGGGGAAATATTTAAGTCCAGAAGGAGAAAGTTTTAAAAACATCTGGAATGGGGCCGGGGATTTAGCTCAGTGGTTCTGCTGCCTGCCTTGCAAGCACAAGGACCCAAGTTCTATCCCTGGTACCAAGAAAAAAATCAAAAAAACAAAAAAACCCCATCTGCAATGTGTTCTCAATATAATTAGGGGATGAACTTGAAGTAAGAGATGAATGGTAGATGATAATACAGCAGAAATGAAAAGGTAGGTGAATGAGCTATCACAAGTGGAGGTTAAAAGATAAGCAAAGAGTTTAGCTATAGAATTTAAGTCTTTAAAAGTAGTAAAACCTCATCAAATAAAATTATCCAGGTGGAGAGAAAACTTGAGAATGTTTCCCAGAATGTACAGTGGATCCCCGAAATTTGCAGGGGTTGCATTCCTAGAGCACCTGTGAATTGTGAAAAACCTCAAATTTCAGATATGGTCAGAAAAATGCCTGTGTTTATAGTTTAAACCCTAAATATGTTATGTCTCCCACAGTTATGTAATTTAATTTAATAAAATACTGTATACAGTACTATAGTAATTTTAAAAAAATGCTAGTAGTAGTAGTTCAACCTTCTCCTGTAGTGTCTTAAACTTCTTCTGGCCAGAAACCTTAGAAAGTGCAGGGTGCTTTGGTGGCATCTTAGGGATCTTAGGGCTTTAAGAAGAACAAAACCAAGAACACTCCAGATAGCTACACCAACCTGTTCTGACATGAGAATGCTGGTGCATCTGCCAGAGATGAGTTACAGGGTAGCAGCCAATCAACAGAAAGGAGAACTGAATAATGCTCTTGCATTGGCCACTTGCAAACCTCCTGCAAAGAAAACAAAAAATTGAGGAGGATACAGTATTAGCAGTTTCCACAAAATTGTGGGGGTTTCCCCAAACAATTATTAGTTAGATTCTAAGGAAAAATCTGCCAACAACTGAGGCCTCGAACTCTGAATGGCAACTTCACGGAGGTATACTGTACAGGACAAGGTGTAGGATGAAATGAGTGACAGGGAAATATAATAGATACTGAGGAAAGAGAAAGAAGGTCCAGCATCAGGCAAGTGGTGCTAACAAAGAAGATTGGATGTACTATTCAGAGATAGCCCAGGGGATACAGTGGGAGAAAGTTTTCTTGATCTGAAAAGAAACCTAGGACCAAGAAAAAATAATTTTAAAAGTGTGTCCACCACACTTTTAAATTTTAAAAAAAATTTTAAAGTGTGCTCTTAGGGCCCCTGCCTGATGGACCAATTCAGGTCTGTATGACCAAGTGAGCACCCTCAAGATTAAGATATGAAGACATCAACTCTGATGACTTGTCCTTTTTCCCTCTTGATTATTTTCTCTGTGAGGGCTCAAACTGCCATGTCATGAGCTGCCCCATCAAGAGTCCCATGTGAGGAAGAATTGAGACCCTCCTACCTCCTACCAGCAGCCATGTGACGATCTTCCTGACTCAGCAAGCCTTCAGATGACTCTAGCCCTAGGGACTTCATGGGATATCCCAAGTTAGAATAGATAACCAATAAGATAATGAAATGGAGAAGGAGGTTAGGAAATATCTGGAAAGACAAATAGACTTTAAGAGATAAGAGCATGTTTTGATGCTAGTGGAAGAAATTGCTAGACAAGGAGAAAGGTGAGGGGTATAGTATGGAAGAAGGGATCTGTACTACCATGACTTTCCTGAGAAGGAAGGCAGGGGTGGGGCCCAGAAGATAAGTATAGAGATGGGCTTTCTGCAGGAGTAGGGACACTTTTTAAGGATCTTAAAGTCACATGTGGATGTGTTTGACAGTGCAGACATTTGAATTTGAGAATCTATGAAAGAGGCAAATAACACTAATAACAAGAAAAGGGATATTATAAAGAATATAGGTGATATTAAAACCATTGTAAGGAATATGATATACAACTCTAAGCCAAAGAATTTGAAAATTCAGGGGAATTTTTTCTAAGATAATTATTAATGATCAATTGGAAGAATTATCTGACAGATAGAAAAATAAGATGAATAACTGAGCAAAATGAAAATAGCTGTTAGAAATTATACTCAGGAAGATATTGGATACATGGTTTCACAGATTATTTCATTCAAACTCTAACGTTGGGTTGTCCAATATAATCAGGGACTGGTCACATGTTGCTATTTAATGTTAAATTAATTAAAATGAATAAAATTTAAAATTTAGTTTCTTATTTGCACTGGCCACTTTTCAAGTGCTCAATAGCCATATGTAGATGGTGGTTGTTATATTGGACAGCACAGATGGAGACAGTCCTGTCACCCCAGAAAGTCCAACGGGCCAGGGCTGCTCTAAGGAATCATTTTTGTCCTGTATAACTTGTTTCCAGGTGCATAAACAGGCTGTGAGTGTATCAATTTATTTTGTGAAATTATGCTAGCTTTGATGCAAAAACATGGCCAAGATGAACATCACAAGACTCAGAAGGCAATTTCACTTATGAATACAGGGGCACTCAAAATATATGGTGAACATTTAAAATTGAAAAAGTTTTTACAGTAAAAGATACATTGCCCCTCAAGATACTCAAGATACTTCCCCATGCTTTGAACACACTTATCTCATCATTCTTGACACTTTCTGAAGCAGTTCTGGAAGTCCTCTTTCATGAGCGTCTTTATGAGGTGTGGTCAAAACTACGGTGAATGCTGCTACTTTCTGCCATCAACAGAAAGGCAGGCTTGTAAAAAACATTACAGTGTGTCCTCATCTACCTTATTCACCTGATCTGGCACTGTGTGACTTCTGCCTTTTCCTCAAAGTCAAAATGACCACGAGAGGGCTGGGGTAGCTCAGTGGTTCTGTCGCCTGCCTTGAAAGTGCAAGGACCTGAGTTCGATCCCTGGTACCAAAAAAGATATATATATAAGAAAAATGACCATGAGAAATAAACATTTTTAATTGATTCAGAACATCAAGGCAGCCATGATGCCTCTTACTGAGACACGCCCTGGTTCCCTTTCAGGTGTGCATTTACCATCACAAGGAGCAGTGAACCCAGTTTGTTCAAGTTCAGGTATGTATCTGAGGCCATGGTTAGTTATTGACAGGAAGCTATTTAGAAACACATATACATAGCTGGACATGGTGGCACATGCCTGTAGTTCCA